AAATAAAAAAATAGGAAAATAGAAAAAAAATCAGTGTAACAAAATTGGTTCTTTGAAAAATCAGTAAAATTGATAAATTTCTAGAAAGACTGACAAAAGACACAATTTGCCATTATTAGGAATGGAATGAGGGTATCACTAGAGTCTGCAGCTATTAGAAGGATAATATGGAAATACTATGACCAACTTTGTTTATAAACCCAACAACCTGAAATGGGTCAAGTCCTCAAACTACTAAACCCCAGCCAGATAATCTGAATAATCCTATGACATTGGATAAATTGAGTAGTCTTATAATTATTTAAAAAATTGAATTTGTTATTTAAAAACTTAAGAGAAGGAACTCTCCAGGTCTAGATGGTTTCCCTGGAGAATTTATCAAACTGTGAAGGAAAAATTAGTGTTAAGTATGAGCGTCTCTTCTAGAAAACAGAGGAGAGTAGACTACTGATCAACTCACTTGGAGTCCATAATTTATGAGTCCAGTATTATCCTGGTACCTAAATCATGTAAAGGCTATACAAATAAGACTATAGATCATCATCTCTCATGAACTTAGATGCAGAAATCCTCAGCAAAATATTAGCAAACCAAATCCAGCAATGTATAAAAGGAATTACATATCGTGACCAACTGGATTTATTTCAGTAATGGCAAGCTAGGCCTGCCGTCACAAATCAGGCAATGGTATCCACTATATTAACAGACTAAAAAAGAAAGGTCATATAATTATATCAACTGACCTACAGAAACACTTTATGAAATCCACTCATGACACACATTTTTTGCAAGTTAAGAATAAAGGAAAATTACCTCGATTTGATAAAGACCATGTCCAAAAAACCTGTAGAAAGCATCATCCTTAATGGTAAAAGACTGAATGCTTCTTCCCCTTTACTCCCCCCATCCCCCAAAAAATCAGGAACAAGACAAGGATGTGTGCTCCCACCAGTCTTATTTGTCATAGTAAGAGACGTTCTAGTCAGGGCAATATGGCAGGAGAAAGAAAGAAAAGGCATACAGATCAGAAAGGAAGAAATAAAACTGATCCTAGTTATGTCGAGGACATAACTGTCTATGCAAAGAGACTGAAGATATCTACTGATAACCCCCTAAAAACTCCTAGTGACTTAAAGTCACAGCATGTAATATCAATACATGAAAATCATATTTCTCTAAACCAGCCCTGAACACGTGGAAACCAGAATTAAAAGCACAATATCATTTACAATTTCTCAAAGAAAAATGAAATGCTTAGGTATAGAGTGTAAGATTTGCATGCTGAAAATTATAAAATGCTGATAGAAGAAATCAAAGAAGACTTAAATGGCTAGAGACCTATTGTGTTCATGGATTAGAAGACTCCACATCGTAAAGATGTCAGTTCTCCTTAAATTGATCTATAAATTTGATGCAATTCCTATGAAATCCCAGCAAGGTTTTCTATAAACATAGATAAGCTTATTCTAAAATTGGTATGGGAATATACAGGACTTAGAATAACTAAAACAATCTTGACAAAGAATAAAGTAGGAAGACTCATATGACTCAATATTGAGGCTTGCTGTATGGCTGCATTAATCCCGGTGGTACAGGACTTGAGCAGTAGACACGTCGATCACGGGACCAGAAAGACACCCAGAAATTGATCCCCAGAAATCAGCTCAATGAGCTTTTGATGAATGTGCAAATTCAATTCAGCGGAGGATGTTCGCCTTTAAAGAAGACAGGGCTGGAGTAATTGGCTATCTGAAAGCAAAAATTAAAACTTTGACCTCAACATCACGCTTCACGCAAACTGACTCAAAATAGATCACTTAAATGTAAAACATAAAACTATAGAACTTTTAGAAATGGTTATAGGAAAATGTAAAATTTCCTAATTCAAAAGCTGACTTGAGACGATGGAAAATAACACTGTTTTTGAATACGAAGATTCAAGATCATTAAGACATCAATTTTCCGTAAATTAAAAAGGCAGTAGGAGTCTAGTAAAATGGAACCAGAGTGTGGTCTGCTTATATGTGTTTAACTGTGTTGAGAATGCTGTGTGTGTGGGTTGTTTTTTTTTTTTTTTTTTTTTTGGGTGGGGGAAGGGGAGGTTGTAATTTGAACGAGCTGCTTCTAAAACTTATGTGAAACATTGAAACAAGCAAAACATCCCCCAAATTCTAAAGAATAATGGCAGATAACTAGCTCTAGCAAATAAAACATTTAAAAAAATTCATGATAATTAATGTTTTGACATGTAGAATAAATATACAAATACAACAGAATAAAAATTCTACATTGTTTTCACAATTCACATTCCTCATTCTTTCACAAGACTTTCCTTTGCCCCAGGGTAAACCTAAAAGAACCCAGAAAAAAAGCCCATTGAATTTCAAAAAGATTTTTTAAAATGCATAACTAAAACATTTGTCTTAAAAGCGGGAATGGTTCTTAACGTTAGCAAACTTTTCTAGAGAGGAAAGTCTCTTTTAGCTTACCAATAATTTTGAATATCAGAAGCTTAAGGACTGAAGTACTTTATATGTGAAATGTATGGTGCAAATTGTAGAGTTAAGAATTATTCAGGTTTTTCTGTCAAAACAAAAGGAAGGCATCCAGCTTGGTGGAGCCCACAACATTAGCATTAGCTGGCTATTAGGCAAGGGCAAGTCTTGCACCCGCCAGCCAAGCCCTGCTGTGGGGCTAGAAGGGTGAGGTATCCCATAGAAACAGAAAGGCTATGCTCTCACTTCACAGAGAAGCAGACTCTTAGAAAAAAGCTGGAATCCTGGTGGAGGAGACGTGAGTGAGTGATGAATCCGGGTGGGTGGCATGGTGACACCCCACTGAGTCCTATTCATCACACCATCAGGGGCACAACTAAATGTCTAGATGTCTTCAAGAAGTGGCTGAGGGCAGGCCAGTGGCCCTAGGAAAGTCGTAAGGAAGATGAGGCCCCAGGACCACATTGGTTAAAGAACATTATGCCACCAGTGTCCTCCTGATAGATGCCACAAAAGATGGCCTCTGGGTGTCATATTTCTCCATAGAATCCATCATGGGGCAGTTGGAACCTAATGTAGACCAGGGAGGTTCCTTTTCCTCTATGCCAATAAGACTAGAAGACTTTTTTTTTAATGATTTTATTCATCTATTTGTCAGAGAGAGTGAGCGAGAGAGCACAGAGAGAGCAGGGGAAGCAGCAGCAGAGGGAGAAGCAGGCTCCCCACTGAGGAAGGAGCCCGATGTGGGACTTGATCCCAGGACTCTGGGATCATGATCTGAGCCGAAGGCAGGTGCTTAACCCACTGAGGCCCCCAGGCTTCCCTACAAGACTTGACGAGAACTTAATTGATTCACCCCAAGTAGAATGGTGAATATGGGGGAGGAGCAGGACCTTGAATTTAATGATGATTTCTCATCAAATGACTTATTCACTGAATTGCCCAAGTTTGCATGGAAAGGACCAGGTAACTTCTGCTGTCCATCAGGTTGGGAGCTCAGAACGACAACATGAATTAAACTGCAGAACCTTCTAAAAGTTTGGTTTTTATGTATCTGCATACTTAGCCTATAAAATGCATAATCACTTTACACATTTTGATATTTCTGCATTTCAGAAGTGTTCTGCAGTGAGAATGCCGTGCACTCACACACTGATTGTCTATCTTTTTACAAACAGTGCAGTACAGGAACTTTGATTTGCTCAGCCAGCACAACTGCTAATAATCATCATGTTATTCAACACCTATTTTGTCTCACAAATTGAGTCCAAAGTTCACCCTGATTCATTCTTATATTTTTGAGGCAAGGAACAGGAAACAGTCTTTTATTATTCTAACTCAGTTGCTTTAACCTTTTGAAAGTTTTCATGTCAAAAGTCCTCTACTGTTGACTTTTTTAGCTTTTTGTCATTCATTCATAGAAAGGAATTTCTTCTAATTCATCAGAAAGGAATTTTTTTGGTGCTTTTTCATATTTTCACTGAATTCTCTTTCCTTGCCTTTGTGACTTCACTTAGGAAGGGCAGGAGAAGAGCCCATCCAAAGGAGCCAATCTGAATTCTTGCCCCACAGCATGTCCCCTTGTCCTTCTGCCTTCTCCTGCTCTCCTCTCACTGGAAACTCCCATTTGGATCTGCCTCTAATTTTTCTTTTTTGTAGTCAATTTCACAGGTTTCTTTTTGGCAATCTGTTCCCCAAGCCATCTGTCTGCTCCTCTTCTGAGCCCACTGGTCATCCTGTCCAGGGAGAGCCACTGCTTTCAGCCCCACTAGGACTCTGTCGTGTGGCTCATGTTCAGCTTGAAGAAGCAAAGGATCAGACCAGGTCTGTGTGCTCTGTTCACGTGGCCAGAGCTGCATGGCTGTCGCGTGTGGCTCAGAGTCCTCTGTCATTCCTTTCTCCTCCACCCCACTTCCTTTTCCATTTGGCACCCCACATGTGAAACTTGCATGAACAGGAAACTCACAAAGGGTTCCTAGAAAATCTTCTCTCTAGAAAGTTCTTAGCTCTTCCCAAACCCATTTCCTAAAAGATATCTCATTTTTGCTCTGCTTACCTTATTATAACCAGTGTGATTAGGTTTTGGCACAATATTGTTTCTAGTAACCACTTGTTCAAACATCCAACTTACGTTAAAAGAAGATTCAGTCACGTATGACTTTAATGTGGTTTGTACTTCAGCAAAGTGGACCGGTCACTTTAAATTTAAGCTTGAGATGAGCACTCGATCACACTCTGACCCTGTAATTATCTCCTGGAATAGAGCCAGTAGGTGTCTGTTTACAGGTCTGCAGGGTAATTTATGTTTTTACTATGTTAACAAAGAGGTTGAGGCAGTGAGAATCAGTTATTAGAAGCTGGCCCTCAGCTTCAAGTCACTTCTGCTTTGGCCCTGGCTGTGAGTTGGAGATTTCACCAGTCACTAGAAACCCTGACTCTATAGCTTTACCTGTAAGCTTCCATCTGGAAAACATGCATGCCTATGGATAGGGTGGAGATTTCATCTTAGGGAAGGGATTTCCTACCCATCAACCTCCTCAGAGCATCCTGGACTTCTTTGTTTCTCAGACTGTACACCACAGGGTTCAGTAAAGGTGTTATGACCGTGTAGGTCACTGAGATTAACAGATCCTGATCCCTGTTGTCTTCAGACCTGGGCTTGAAGTGGGCAATGGAGGCACAGCCATAGTGGACAATGACCACTGTGAGATGGGAGGCACAGGTGGCGAAGGCCTTCTTCCTGCCCTCAGCTGAGGCGATCTTGAGGATGGTGGCGATGATGAGGATGTAGGTGATGAAGATGAAGGTGGAAGGGGCTGTGAGGGCCAACAGGGTGATAATTAAGGTCAGGATATCGTTAAGGATTGGAGCAGCACAGGCTAGGTCCAACACAGGTGGAACATCACAGAAGAAATGCTCAATTAGTGAGTTGCAAAAAGACAGTCTGAAAATGGCCACGGCCTGAATCAGAGAGAGCAAGAACCCTGAGGCACAGACCGAGGATGCCAGGATGGTACAGACTCTCCAGTTCATGACGACTGAGTAACGAAGAGGGTTGCAGATGGCCACGTAGCGATCAAACCCCATTACTGCTAGCAAGAAGCAATTGGTGATGGCAAAACCAAGGAAGAAAAAGAGCTGAGTCCCACAGCCCACCAGGGAGATGGATTGGCTCAGACCTACAAGGCCAGAAAGCATGCGTGGGATAATGACCAGGGAATAGAAAGTCTCCGACGTGGAAAGAACACTTAGAAAGAAGTACATGGGGGTGTGGAGGTGGTGGTCGATATGGATCACAGTCACAATGATGACATTGCCAGCCAGAGTTAGGATGTACACGATCAGAAACACAACGAAGAGTGTGAGCTGATGTTCATGGAAGTTGGAGAAACCTTGGAAAACAAATTCTCTCACCTCTGTGTGGTTGGCCGTCTTCATTGAGGATCTCAAATCAGAAAGGTAAAGAGAAGGTCAACACCATCCCTTCATAAGAGAGACCACCCATCCCTTTGTGAGCACACCATCAAGAGCAAAGTTTCAGTATCGCAAAGACCCGGTTCAGAACTTTTCAAATCAACTGTCTTTTCCAGGGACATGGCAGACTCTGTCCCAGAACTGATGTATACATGACAGCGAAAATCTGAGCAACGTTATTTGGAAGTTTGAGGTAAGGCTTTCTTTTCAAGGACAACTGACCCAACGTGTGGCCCATGAAGTTGGTCTCAAAAATTTCTTAAAACTAGATTTTCCTAAAATATTACCCACATTCTCAGACCACAGTGTGATTAAGTTAGAAACTATCACAAAAAAACTTGAAAAATTGGAAATGTTTGAAAATCTAACCTATGGTTCGAAGAGGAACTTATAATGGAAATTAGAGATCTTTGGAACAGAGCAGTGACAGGAGAATCACGTACCACAACACGTACCTTGCATTCAGAACATTATTGAAAGGAAGTTTATCACTGAAAATGGCTTGTTTGTTTTTTTAAAACTGAAAATTAATGAGAATCCATTCCAAGAAGTTATAAAAAAACAGCAACGATGAAACAGATGTGAATGATAAAATACAGAAAATCCATAAAGGTTCAGGTTTATAAACTTTAGGTAAACTCATGAAAATCTGACCAAGAAAAACAAGTGAAGACATAAACTCGATTATGAATTAATAAAGGGACAGAAGCTTCAGACTCAGAAAGATGAGAAGTAACATTATGTACAACTCCTCCTCCACAGGTTTTTAAACTTCAATGAAATGGATATATTTCTAGAAAAAATTATCAATATTGAATCAAGAAGAAGAAAACCTAAAAAAAAAAATTAAGATATAAAGACAGTAGTGAAAAATCTACAAATAGATCTCTCGGCCAAGAGAAATTTACCGCTACATTCTATGAAACATTCAAGGATAAGTCGATTTCAATGTAATACAAATTACTATTTTAAGTAATAAAGAGGAAATCCTCTCCCCTCATTTTATGAAGCTGGAATTATCTTGACAACAAATTAAACTGGCCAATCTCGTAGATCTAGAGGTAAAATTCTTGATGAAATATCATCAAACCACATCCAACAATGTGTAAATGGGTCCATGAACAAGTTGGTTTTTTTTCAGGATGTGAAATTTGTTTAAGATTTAAACAATTCAATTGTACATTTCCTCCAGTAAACTGTTCGAAGAGAAAAAGCGACATGATTATTTCAATAGCTATCCCCCCAAAAATCATTTTTAAAATTCAGTGTCTACTTATAAAAATCCTGAAAAAACTAAGGATCAAAGATTTTCTTTAAGCTGATAAAGCATGTGTACAGTTCTGCAGTCAATATATACTTAGTGGTGAGATACTGAAGGGTTCTCTTCAATATTAGGACAAGATAAGGGTGACTGCTTCATCCACTTCTCTTCAACATTGCACTGAACACTCTGGCCAATCCAATAAGCCAAGAGAAAGAAATTAAAAATATAAGGATTGAGAAGGAAGGAATTCTCTGCAGATGATGCGATTGTGTACACAGAAAATCCAAAAGAAACTGCTGATAAATTATTAACATTATTAAGAAAGTTAGCAGGCTTTCTGGTACAAAATTTAGGTATAAAAATCTATCAAATTTATACACTTCAACAAACTGATAGCAAATTAAATTTAAAAGGACTGTCATTTATAATAGCTTAAAAGTATAAAGTACCTGGGAATACCGATGTTTATGAAGAAAATCACAAAACCTTAGTGAAAGACACCAAAGACTGAATGAAGTAAGGGAGTAACAGACCCTGCTTACGAGTTGAAAGATCTGAGATGGTGAAGATTCCAATTAATCAAAAATCTATGAATTCCTATCTATGATTTATGAATTCTCTGCAGTTCAATCAGAATCTCGAATGGATTGTTTTTGGCTGGTTGGTTGCTAGATTGGTAACTGATACTAAAATTTATATGAAAGTACAGAGATCTGAGAAAAGCTAGAACACAAACACAGGAAGAGAAGATTTACCCTTCAAACATCATTACTTACTATTAGGCGGTGGTCATTAAGAAGGTGTGGTGTTGGCACAGGGATGGAGTCTCACCAATGGGAGCAAACACAGTCTGAAATATGGGAACTCTTCACACCAGAGCTGGCACTGGAGGCTGGTGGGAAGCACCAAGTCGTCAATTAAGGATGAAATTGTTGGTTATCTGTATGGGAAAAAACGAAATCAGATTGTGCCATAAAAACATTAATTTCAATTGTATTAAAAACCTAAGAAGAAACAAAACACTTCATGAAATGTTTAGAAGATAAGCTTGGGGTAGCAAAAGATACAGAATATAAAATAATGATATATTCTGGTACATAAACATTAACTTCCATTTTTTAAAACAAATTCCAAAAAAGGGAACAAGTCAAGATATTTACAACAAAACCAGGTAAAACACTAGTGTCTAGGGTATCTAGAGCTTTAACCATAAAGAGAGAAAAAAAAGATCAGCTTAATATAATGATTTTAAAAGTGTATAAAAATTTCATATTAGGGGAAGCACAGAGGGCATGTGAACAGACTTTTAACATCATTAGTAGCCGCGGGAAAATAAGACCACAGACCACAATTTCACACCCATCAGACTTCAGGAATTCAAAGCTATTACAGATAAAGAGCAGGGGAAGCTCCTGAAGAGAGTGAATTGATAGGATCATTTTGGAAAACAGTTCGCTATTACCTGTCCGAGTTGAAAACGAATGGGTTGTGGGAGCCAGTGATTCCACCGTCAGAATTTAATCCGGAACAGCTACAGAGACATACAAAGTTAAAACAGCTTTGTTTATAATAGGGGGGGAAAGCGCTGAAATGAACCAAATGTTCTTCAAAAGCAGAAAGGATAAATTGAATAAACCCACAATATATTACAGAGCATCGAGTGAATTAATTATAGAGCATGGGTGGGCAAACGACACCCCATGGACCAGCAGTCTGCTTTGTAAATAAAGCTATATTGGGACACGGTCACACCCACTTGTGAATGTGTTGTGTGGATTGCGATCACCCTGCGACAGTGAAGCGGAGGAGTCCAGCAGAGACTGTATGTAGGACCTGCAAGACTAACACGTTTACTCCCAGGTCCTTTACAGGAAAGGTCTACAGACTCCTGCTAAAGATGGCTGAGGGCATGGCTTTCATTTTCACACTTCAGCTTTCTTGACCCTCAGAATCGGAACATTGCACAATAGAAGCCAACCACAGGTGTGTGTGTGTGTGTGTGTGTGTGTGTCTGTCTGTCTGTCTTCCATTTACTTAATGTTCAAAAGAAGGCAGGACTAGTAATATTTAGGGATAATCTGTTTCTTTATAAATATGCAAGTGCTTTAACCTAAAATTGATGATCATGACTGGTGAGGATTTGAAGCATTTGAAAGGAACATCTATGAGGCTCTAGATTTATAGTGATCTTCTGTTTCTTAGCCTGGGCAGAAGGTAGCTAGGTGTTTGTTTTGTTATTTTTCTTAAAATGCACATTTATTTTTTAAACTATTCAATGCACACCCTATGTTACAAAAAACATTAACATTATACATCAAGAAGAGCATTCATGCTACTGTTAAATGGGAGAGATACCACAAAACGGTAAGGATTGTATGAACCCAATACGGTAAAGGAAGTAAAAATCTTTATCTGTGTATTTATGAACATGTCTGTATACAAAAAAAGACTATGAATTTACAAATGGGGGCGCCTGGGTGGCTCAGTGGGTTAAGCCTCTGCCTTCAGCTCAGGTCATGATCTCAGGGTCCTGGAATCGAGTCCCATATCCGGCTCCCTGCTCAGCGGGGAGTCTGATCCTTCCTCTGCCTCTCCCTCCTCTCATGCTCTCTCTCTCTCTCAAATAAACAAATAAAAATATTTTTTAAAAAAGAATATATAAATGAATATATGGGACATTTATAAACAGAAACTAGCACAATATTTTAAAACTTTTTTGTGTAGCTTTTAATTGATGCATATGAAAATTATGTAATTCAATGGAAAATAAATTACAAAACAGGATGTGAGATATACAAAATTACCTAATTACATGAAAATGTGCATAGGAAAAAGCTGAAGGGAAATCATCGAAATGTTAGTAGTACATGATTCTGCATGGTAAAATTATGGGTGGATTTTTGCTGTCTCCTGAATTTTCCAAAGTGTCCACAGTAAATATATATTACTTATGCAGTGGGTTGGAGGGTAGCTTCAGTTTCTTTTAAGTGTCCCTTGGGGTCGTTCTCCTCACCATTTTTCCATTGAGGCATCCCTCCCACCTTGGTTCTCTCAGCATCTCTCATTCTTACATGATAACACTTGTCACATTCAATTGAAATGATTTATTATCTGGCTTTTCAACTAGATAGTACCTTTTTGGATGACAGATCATACTTAGTCGTTTCTGTATCCCCAGATCTTAGCTCGATTTTTGGCATATGTCAAGCCTTTGATCACTGTGTCAACGGAACTGATAAGTGAAGGAAAACTCTGGAGGTGCTTCTGAGCTGAAGGAAGAGCCCACACCTGTGCCAGATTCACCCAGCAGTACGGACATGGACAGGTGGAGACAGAACCAAGTACTGAAGGATTTCCAAGCTGGAGGGAGTGAGAGGTGGAGGAAATGGACCTTCCCAATTCAGACACAGGGAGCTTGTGAATCACTCAAGGAAAAGACAGAAATGCGGCATCCATGCGGACAGGAAGGGGCAGAGTCTGCAGGCTCAGCAAGTGGCAGAAGGTGAGAGACACCCAGAAAAAAAAAAAGACATGAAAGAACAATATTGGAAAACGTGGGTGGATGAACTGACTGTTGGCCAACCATCATCATCTGCGGAGACCATTCACCTTGGGCTAGTTCTCCAATCCTCAATCAAACTTTTGGAGGATAGCCCTTTTCATAAAAGATTATAGAAATTTATGGGAGTTTTTCTTTTAC